TGGATGTTTGAATGTGCTGTATTTATCAATGCACTAATGTACAAAAGTCTTTGATGAGCATTCCTTTGTAAACTCAGCATTCAAATGAATTTGAATGCTGAGTTTAAGCTCATTTGGCCCTGTAGTGAACACTGTTGTGGTGTTCAGCAGAACAGAGTGAAACTCCACAAAAACATGAAACGACAGATTGAAAAAAAACAAATGCATAAACCAGAATTTACTGTTAATCCTGGTTTAAAGATGTATGTAAGCCAAATCTATCCCTTCATGTTGTAATTACGTCACCATTTACAGAATCCTCTAAACTATGATCCAAATGACAGCACAGGTACTCACAGTCTGGTCCTGAATGTTTCCCTTACATAAAATGATCTTCAGCCCCTCAGCTGTGGTCTGCTCCAACCTGCATCCAATCAGATAACAGGACTGATGATATCAAAGAGGCCTCATGAACATGACGTCATCAAGAGTGTGATAAAACCAAAGAAATAGAAGGTGAACCACCTTACCCTCCATGCTCTCTATGGCTGATTTGTTGCTTGGGGCTCTGGCCTCCCCTGTTACCGTGTTGATTTCCTCCCCTTCCACCTCCTCTTCCACCTCCTCTTCCACCTCCTCTTCCACCGCCTCTTCCTTCTTCTCGTTTTTCATTGCACCAGCTGGCATCATGTGATTGGTTCTGACCTCTGCCTCTGCCTTGACCCCGCTTATGTCCACTAGGAAGTAATGACAATTTTAAATACTTTCCAAATGACTCCAATTTGACTGAATACTTAAGCAGCCATTTAAAGTTAATAATAGCTGCTCAGCCATCTTTGTGGCTTAGGAAGCCATAAACCATAAATCTGACCAACAAATTGATATAATCTTTCTCAACTAGCTCAGCATCAACAAGGTTTATTGAAAAGATTTAAAGAAATAGTTTTATTTTGGGGTATTGTGGATATAGATTACCTCCATGCTGTCAGGTATACAGACGAGCTTATACAGTTATACAACAGACAAAATCCAAATAAGGACGTTACATGGAGCTGGATATTGTTACCTGTGATCATGAGCTTGATGAGTATCAATGTTAAGATGTTTACAGTAAAAGTTCATTATTAAAAAACTTTAACATTACCCTGAAGCTCCTGTTCTTTTCCCGCCTGCTTGCTGTGGGATGGTCATGGTAGGTCCGAGGTCTGAGAACTCCTTGCTCACAGCTGTGGCTATGACTCTGATGGTGCTATCGTTGTTGTCCACCAGGTGAATCTCAGTTAATGATCTCAGACCTTGTGGGCTGTCACAGTACTCCCGAACTGCCTGGGCTATGGTCTCAGCACAGAGGTCAACAGGGAAACCAAAGATGCCCGAGCTGATCGCTGGCAGTGCAATGCTGGAGCAGTTGGCCATCTCTGCTTGTCTCAGACTTTCTCTCACTGCAGTCTTCAGGCGTGACACTGCCGTCTTCCTGTCAAAGTCAGAGAATCGTGGACCAACTGCATGGACAACATGTTTGCAAGGCAGGTTGTAGGCATCTGTTATGATGGCGTCACCTGGACGTAGACGTCCATTTTTATCAACGTAGTCGCTGCTTTCTCTCTGCAGCTGTGGTCCTGCAGCCTTTAGCAGTGCCAAAGCCAGGCCACCAATGTGGTCTAAGTCCTCATTAGCTGCATTGACCACAGCGTCCACAACAAAGCTGCAGATGTCCACCTTACTGACAGAAATCAGTACTCCACTGTTGGTCTGCACTTTACAATAACAAAGGGTCGTTTCTTCTTCATAATTCGCAGCTTCTTCTTCTTCAATCTCTGGACGAAGGAAGACCGCACATCTTGAGTCATTCATTAATGTAGACAGTAACATTTTTCCTTGGTTTTGGAAGTATTTCTTTGCTCCTGGCTTGTCCACAGTTAAGGTGTCAGTGAAGAGAGCATTGGCCAGTTCCATAAAGGAAGATTTGGCTTTCTGAACATGAAGACGAGCACCAAGGATGCTGATGCTCTGCTTCTGTACATAAAACCTTACTGATACATGATTATCTTTGGCAATACTGGACCATTCCTTTGATTTTTTCTTTTTAATGAACAAAACAACAGCACAGGATTCGACATGAAGGGTTTCTTGGACTTGTGAATTGCTTGCAACAAATACCCTCAGACTATGGCTGACCTCTTTCACTGGATTCACAAAACCAGCCACTGTTATTTTGTTTCTTCTTTCTGGGTGCATCTGAATGGCCACAGTTTTTTTCTTCGATAGGTTGTAGGTATCCAGCAGCTTTTGCTTCAGGTGGCCCCAGGTGGGAAGTTTTAGAACTTTTTGGTCTTCCACTTCTACAATCTGATAAGCCAAAGCAGCCTTCATCTTACTTTCTGCATCAACAAGGGCTCTGTCAGAACTCCCCAACAGGAGAAGCCCTTTGCTTTCAATGGTGTAGATTGCACTGATGCCTTGAGATGTGAACAGATCCTGGGACATGTCCATGGGATCTAATTTTCTGAGAAAGTCTAGAAGACATGGGGGGACATTCTGATGTTTCTTACTCATATTCATTATCTTCTCAGAGATCCATGACTTGGTCTTGTAGAACTCTGCAGTGAGTCCTGTAATGGTTAACTTCTGGGTGCCTTCATCATAAGAGAGTTTCATCTCAGGAGAAATGTCCAGAGCAGCTTTCTGGAGCCCCTCCTGCTTCAGGATGTAGAACCATGCAGGGGACAAAATCATTTCCTCAGAGA